TAGGCATAATCAAGTAGCCAAGATTATCCATCAGCAAACTGCAACACTATCGACTTGTTGAGTCTGAGGCACGAACGTACGTACTACAGGTATGTGCCCGACCCAGTTCTGGAAAATGACCATACCACATTGTACTAGGACCGGTCTATCATTACTGACAGGACTATTTGTAGTCAATAAACCTGGCATGACGAGAACTTCGTGGAAGCTGAGAAAGATAGACAAATAAAATATCTAGACTTAGCTCACGAGGTTGTCGACATATGGAGTGTGGATTCGGCTATCATTGTGCCGCTAGTCGTGTCAGCCAATGGGTTAATCCCTAAAAGCCTCGACAGTCGACATCCATCTCAAAAGGTTGGCGTTAGGTGGATGGATCAAGGGCTTGATACAGAAGTTCTCTTAGAAACGGCACGTATCGTGATGAGGTTTCTGTCTCGGGAGCCCTAACCACCAGTAGCTTAGACCATGCTCCCGCTACCGCTCGGCTCCTACTTTTTAATATTTTTAAATATTATTTTTTATTTTGTAAGTAGTATGTAAAAATGTCATTTATGGAGAATCTATATATATATAAAAGAAAGTCGTGTTAGTTACACTATTTATAACTCAAGAACGGCTACATCGATTTGGATGAAAATTGGTAGGGAGGTAGGTTAGAACCAGGAGACGGACACAGGATACTTTTTACCGAATCCTTTTTTTTTACTTTTTACCGAAAATCAAGAACGGGAACGGGAAATATCGGGATTGCGCGTACGAAGTCGCGGGCAGAAGCTAGTTTAAAATAAATATATAAGTACCCATTTACACAATATAATATATAATTTATTTCTACTGTTTTTACTATGTATAGAAAAAATTTACAACAGGATTCAGAGTGCGGAGAGAGAGTGAGAGGCGCCTCTCGCAGCTAGGCGCCTAGTTCGCGAACGTGGTTCTGGCAGTAACCGCGGCTAGCGACGACGACCCACGTATCCATGGGGACGAGCAGTTCAACTCTTCGCAACATATAAGTAGTAGCTGTGTACGTGTTAGATCTGACGTAGTGCGTCATTCCAGGCTCCAAGTACTACATGGAGTGCAACGCGTGCGCGTGTCGCGGCGGCGAGCGGGTGTGCGCGCGGCGCGCGTGCGGGCGGGCGGCCGCCGCGCTGCCGTGCTACTGCCCGCCGCACCACCTGCCCGTGCGCGCCAGGCACGCGCCCTACCCCAACGCTTGTCTCGCCAAGTTAGTCGCTACTTACATCTTTCTATAATAACTATCGCGTGCGGGCGGGCGGCCGCCGCGCTGCCGTGCTACTGCCCGCCGCACCACCTGCCCGTGCGCGCCAGGCACGCGCCCTACCCCAACGCTTGTCTCGCCAAGTTAGTCGCTACTTACATCTTTCTATAATAACTATCGCGTGCGGGCGGGCGGCCGCCGCGCTGCCGTGCTACTGCCCGCCGCACCACCTGCCCGTGCGCGCCAGGCACGCGCCCTACCCCAACGCTTGTCTCGCCAAGTTAGTCGCTACTTACATCTTTCTATAATAACTATCGCGTGCGGGCGGGCGGCCGCCGCGCTGCCGTGCTACTGCCCGCCGCACCACCTGCCCGTGCGCGCCAGGCACGCGCCCTACCCCAACGCTTGTCTCGCCAAGTTAGTCGCTACTTACATCTTTCTATAATAACTATCGCGTGCGGGCGGGCGGCCGCCGCGCTGCCGTGCTACTGCCCGCCGCACCACCTGCCCGTGCGCGCCAGGCACGCGCCCTACCCCAACGCTTGTCTCGCCAAGTTAGTCGCTACTTACATCTTTCTATAATAACTATCGCGTGCGGGCGGGCGGCCGCCGCGCTGCCGTGCTACTGCCCGCCGCACCACCTGCCCGTGCGCGCCAGGCACGCGCCCTACCCCAACGCTTGTCTCGCCAAGTTAGTCGCTACTTACATCTTTCTATAATAACTATCGCGTGCGGGCGGGCGGCCGCCGCGCTGCCGTGCTACTGCCCGCCGCACCACCTGCCCGTGCGCGCCAGGCACGCGCCCTACCCCAACGCTTGTCTCGCCAAGTTAGTCGCTACTTACATCTTTCTATAATAACTATCGCGTGCGGGCGGGCGGCCGCCGCGCTGCCGTGCTACTGCCCGCCGCACCACCTGCCCGTGCGCGCCAGGCACGCGCCCTACCCCAACGCTTGTCTCGCCAAGTTAGTCGCTACTTACATCTTTTTGACGTGAAACGTCTATAAAATCACGCCAAAACATCCGGGTACTAGGTTTAAGTGGACCTTAACGCAAAAGAAACGGGTTTTTAACCGACTTCAAAAAAAGATTGTTATAAACTCTCACAGTATACATATAATTTCCATATTTATTCCGTTGTAACTTGGTAGCCTACGCCTTTAACCAGTATTTAAAAGAATTTGATTTGAATAATATGTATTAATAATGTTCTCGTTCTCTACATCACAGATGCGCAGGGGCATCAGACGGCGAGATAGAGTTTGGCACGAGCTCTCCGTGCGCGAGCGCATCGTGTGGACGGCGCCATGTTTGTATGCCTGCACCTAACGTGTGTCTGTCGCGGCTACAGACATCGTGTCCACAGTATCATTGCGGTTAGTATCTAGGCTACTATACTTATATTTAAATAAACTCTAAACAGTCCAAACGCCTGTGGGTAAGCAGAACCTTCTGACCGCCACCTATTATATCGTATCGCATACAAATATCATCGTCATCAACAGCTCATGAAAGTTTACAGATGGACCTCCGCTGCATATGAGTACAGCTTTAATATCCACGCTTGGTTACCGGGTTTGAGATTGCCGTTAAAGAGCTACTATCCTTTGTCTAACTCACGTACGTGTAATCACTTAGTTGGTTCTTGTGGCACTTGCGAGAAGAGTAGGCGCAGTAAGGCTAAGGACAACTATCGCAACTGTCGCGGGCGTGAAACGCGTCGTGAAAATTGCTTTGATTTTTACGTACATATCTGTATTCTACAAAGGCTGCAAACCAGCAAACGCGGCTGGCGCCCTTTCCTTTGCCTAAGTGATGACATGTTCAGCAGTGGTCGTATGTTTCCAGTGAGCACAGTGAACTGTAACGGCCAGCCCGGCCTCCCAGTGTGCGACACGGACGGCCGCACACACAGTAACCCCTGCCACCTCGTCATGAGCGGGAGGAAGTTTGCCTACTGGGGACCTTGTCTACAGGGCTGCTCGCCTGTAAGTATAATTACATCTAATTACCTTGCTGGTCTCCCTAGAAACTGAACGTACATACGTAGGGATTGTACAATGAAAATGGTCCATTTATAAAATTCAGTTCTGATAGTGGCCTTAGTGGTAGAATTCTTGCTTCACTAATGAAGCAAGAATTCCACAATCCATTTATCTCTTGTGGTGTAAAGTCAGGGATTGAACCCGTAATAGTTTTTAAGCTATCGAAAGACCTAATCTATTCGAGTACCACCAACATGACGACATATTCATTAATATTTCAGGCTGGTCCAGTTTGCGGCGTGAACGGAGTATCTTATATATCAGAGTGCGCAGCCTGGGCGGAGTATGTGAGCGTGGACTATGCGGGGCCTTGTCTCGCTGTAGGACCGATATCAGATCACATGGAGCCAAAGTGTGCCCTCATAGATAGAATCATCTGTCCTCCACTGAAGAAACCAAACTGCCTTGGCTTCACCGCTCCAGGTGCTTGTTGCCCCAAATGCGGAGGAGCTCTCAGAATCCTTTACTCAAAGAAACAAATCGACAGAGCCTTATACGGCACCAACATCTCAGCGTCAGTTATAAACCTGAACAACATCTTGAGAGCTCTAGAGAGACATGTGAAGATAGCCGAGTGTGCCCTCAGAGGGTACCTCACCATCGAAATGGAAATATTCGTGACTGTAGAAACTATGTTGGAGAACCCGACAGACTTACAACTCAATGTGTGTATTCTGGAAGCGGAGAAGATAGCAGACATGATCAATAGAGAAAGTGTTCTAATAACAAGTGATTTAGGTTTAAGTTCGTTGGCATACGCGTTGACTGTCCACACATTACCCACTCAAGGTGCAAATACTATAAGTTTGTCCATAGGTGCTTTATTAGCGTGTATAAGTATCTACGTATTAAGGTAAGACCATGTCATTACTGGACTTGTATATTTGTACAGTAGTTGTAAATATTGTGTAATTATTCTAGTGCCATCGTTAGAAACGTATACAAAGAATTTAGAGATTATGCTTTGGTTTGCTTTAAAATCAGGCACAAATTGTTTAGTCATGTTGTCACGTGAGTTCATTGTGCCATTTAGACTGTAGCTGTAATGACAATGTCTTTGACTTCGCACTGTTAGTGCGCGATAGACTGCAACTAGCATTTTATAACATTTTTACACAAAAGACATTTATTGTGAAGTACTCGTAGTCTTTAAACCAAATATGTATTACATTTATAACTTTGTTGTTAATTTTTAGATGTTTAGATATTTTGAAAATGTGAATATTGTTTATCTACAAGCTTAAAAGTTATTAAAATTAAAACATTTTTATACAACATCGTTTTATTTGCACAGTTTCCAATGTACTTTCGTAGTTTTGTTTTATGGGTATAATTGAATATTTTGTAACCTATAAAACAATATACTATCTCGGTGTACATATTCAATTACAAAATTTTAAATCACCAACTTTATAGCAACCAAAAAAATTAAAATTGCCAATATAAAACATGGGACACAAAAAAACATTTATTATGTCTCACGCAAATCTACTTTCCGGTGAAAAAGCAGACAGATTACTGGTGCTATCCAGTAACTTCATACCTTCGTGTGTACTAACTTATACCAAGTCTAATGATCCCATTATTCATTCAAATGATCTACATTCACTTGTGTTTACAGCCTGAAAGTGTTTTATGTCAGGTTGAATGTAATATGGCTAGGTATTAGCTAGGTTTGAATGTTAGAATCGAGTAAAAACATTACAGAATTTCAAAATGAAGCGAATATTTTACCTCCTGGGGTAACCAAATGTTGGGATAATACAAATAAATAATGATCACATTATAATATGACTTTATTTTCACATAACACCGAACAATCGAGGAATATAATAATCATAGTGTGAATTTTATATATCACAATTAATTGATCACTTATAGTTAAGTTCAGATAAGTCTTTTTTATCGAAAAATATATTGATTCTATCGAGTAGTTGTGGGTCGGTGACAGTTTTGGCGAGTTGCACGAATCCACTCTGCAGTACTGGGTGGATCAGTTGGAACCTCTCGAGGGAAAACGTCAAGACCAATTCGAGATATGCCATTAAAATGTTTTGAAAGCAGTTTCGTTGTACTTCAGTGTCCTGGAAACGGAAAAAAAACCAAAATATTATTAGAATTATTCATTTCTTTTTCTCGGTCGGACAAACGATTGTTCAGTTTCGATTTACATGAATTTTCAGTTTCTGAATTGAAAATTGGAAAGGTATTGGCAAATAATTTCTCGGACTACATTTTTGGGGAATATAGGGGTATATTGATACGTTTTTTTCACAAGTCTTTAGCAGCTTTTGCGAAAGGGTTTCAAAAAAAGGGCACATATTATTAAGAGACGACTGGACAGACTTTATATAAAGACAAGACTATAACAGAAATGTTTCTCACCTTGCTAATACTCAAAGCTCGTTGTTGTTCAATTTCAGGCGGTACCGGTTGCGGTGGCAGTATTGGTTCAGCCACCTTCACCTTCTCATACGACACCGTGTCGCAAATAGAAAGGTTTAGTTTCCGTGTATTATCTATACTGTGGTTCTCTATAATATCTGGTATACTGCCTTTCTTTTCTTTTATAGGAGTCTCCTTGTGTATCTCAATTTCTTGTGGCATGTGACCATTTGTATGTTTATCGTCATTAGCTTCGCTGCTTGCAGTCGAATGCTGGTCGCTATCTATATTACTTTCATTAGCAATAGTGTCTTCTTTTATCTTCTTATTCGATGGTATATTTTCTGTGTGAATCTCGACAGTGATAGATCCTTGACTGTTTGCTTTGAAATCAGCAAAAGTGAACGGCTTAGGCTTTTCAATTATTTTCTCTGGTGAGTTTTGTTCTTTATTTATTACCGGCTCGTCAGTATTGTCATTTGGATCCTGAGCGTAGTACTGATCGTAGTGATTCGAAGAATTGTCACTTTCTACCGAACTGCAAGACATTCTCTCTTTTATATCGTTGTTATCAAAATCTGAAACACTTATCAGGTGCTTCACATAATTGTGACATAACAGCTCCCATGTATGCTTCAGATCGAATATCTTTGTGACAAACTGATCATATTCCATAGTCAAATTTAAAGACGTCGTGTAATTATGCAATATTATCGATAAATCTGTTGACTTCAGTTTAAATTTATGAACGCCATTGAAGAATATCTCAGTCAACGCAATTATTTTGATCAGCCACGAAGAAGTAGTTTGCTTATACAAGTTGGCAGCGTGATCCAAATTAGACACTTTTTGTACGAGAAACTTCAATCCTGGCCTCGAGTCAAACTGCATGGCTCTCGTGAATGATAACTCTAAACTTCTCAACAACAAATCTATGTTGTCACTGTTCAAGAAGAATTTGTAGTTGCATACATTCGAACCGGTTTTGAGACTATCTATCAAGATACTGTTGATACCTTGGAAGACATCTGATGATGCTTGAATCAACACCGTAGCAATTATCTGAACCAGAATCTGATGGGCTAACAATCCCACCACCAATCCTCTATGAGGTATTCTAACTGTATACAGGTCTGGGTTCAACGAATTAATTGACTCTTGGAGATAGATCAGGAATATGTAACTCCGATCATCAATCAGCATTAGGTTCTGCGAGGAATTCTTTGGAGTTATTTTGACGTGTCCATCACCTTTCAGTTGTTCAGTTAGGAACACTTGTTGGGCCATTGCGTGCAGTCTCACATTATCGTTCACTGAACAATCTCTTCGTGCAGCTACTTTTACCATGGCTAAATCTCCATAAAAACTATTCGAGTTTTCTTTGAAGGCATAAGTTAGTTGTTTAAGCGGAGTTAAACTAACGTTACAAGCTCTGTGCAGACTGGTACAGACAATTTCCCATTGATTGTCTGTCAGTAAATGACCAGACGTTAAAATTATATGTCTTATACACGAAGCACCTAACCTCGCGATTGGTTCCTGAGGTTGAGCGATACATTCTACCAAAATAAGCATTACTTGTTTCAAGGCAAACGTTGCTTCTACGCTCTCAATTGGCTCAATCTCTACTGGTTCATTCTTTTCGTCGACCGTCGACCTCTCTACATTTATTTGCTGCAGATGATGCAAGTAAACGACAATAGTATCAGTGGTCATGCCGCAACACTGTTTAAAGTTTGGCATCACACTGTCCCAATGAGTATTCACATTTGCTATTTGCCGGAGCCAGTTCTGAACTGTGGGTAAAAGAAGATGGTTTATGCAGTGAAGACCAAAATGTGTTCCGGGAACTTCTACCGTGTTCCTTAGTAACTTAAACAATGTCTCCATAGCAGCAGGTTGATTCTTCTTAGAACAAACGACTGTAGCTGAGATCAAGCCTTCAATGAGAACGTACCATACTTTCAGTATGTTGCTCGGCTTATCAAGTTTCAAAAGACAGTTATTGGTCGTATTCGAAGGTGGAAGACTTGTGGATAATTTTCGATATGAAATGAGATCTTCTTCGTAATGGTCATTAGAAATGAACTTAGTGATATCAAGAGACGCGCTGGGTATTATGGGGTCTACAACACATAGTGGCATGTCCCCTTTGATCCTATTACCGGTGTTGAAGATCGGACATTTTGGCATATTGTACATCATCGTTAGAATGTCAGCACAACTTTCCAAGTGATATAATGCCTCCCGACACATGTCTACAATCACTTTCTCAGATTTCTCTTCACTGAGGGGAATGAATTTGCTATTCTTTGAGAATTTTAGGCTAAGACTAGGTTTAGTTTGGGTGGGTGTGGTCACTTTCTTTGGTTTTACTTCGGTGGCTTGCACTTCTTCGTAGTGCAGCCCTTTGATATGACTTAGAAGGCACAGTATGCAGTCTAGAGCGGCATTCGCGAACACAAGCGTGTTGTCTGTGCTGAGGAATACTTTGAATATTTCCAAGATTGCGGAGTATTGGTTAGAGTTGTTAGCCGCTCGTAGAGTATTGAATAGAGGCCGCCAACCAGATCTTATTTCCATTCTGTTGGTCTCCACGAATTCGCAGATGCAGGATATGATTTGTTCCTGGAAATAAAATAAGATACACATTATTTCAATGCGCCTAGATTAATTTAGTCCCATAATATGGTTGTTACTGTTACCTGGATATCATCATCACACAGCTCCAAGCAGAGAAGGTTTTCGAAAGGTTTCAGCAATGCTTCGTTGAAGTGGAAGTGTGGTAGTTCTACTTGCTGGTTTAGGAGTGCAGTGGCACAGTCGTGCAGACACTGAATTGCTAAGCTCGCAATCTGGATGTCTTTGTGGCAGGCTGCCTGAAGAGGTAAAGAAGAAAATAGTGGGACGAAGGCCAAAATAATTTCGGTGTCTACTTCAACTTTTGGATTCATTGAACTACAATGCCTTCAGGTATTAACTAAGCTGTTTTCATGAATGCAATATTCATTTGATTTTTGATGCACACGATTTTTTTCTATTGACATACCTGCATAAAATGTGGTCCAACAACGGTCCATATCGCCATGCGGTGCGCGAGTGGGCGGGCCGCCCTGAGACAGCGCAGCGCCACGTCCCCCGCGCGACACAGAGCCCGCGCCGCCTCGCCCCCCGCACCGCCTGCCCCCGCGCCCTTACCCCCGTTAGTACCCGGCCCCCGACGCCACCACCACACGTTATTGTTAGCCACGTCTGATTCCCACGAGCAAAATAACTGTGGACAAATATTATTGATCTCTATAACTTATTTAGGTATTCTGTGACGCCGTGGTATCTATTTAACACTTTGTTTGAGTTGGCTCCTTAGTAATACGTATAATGTAGACGAGTGAGGATGGATGAAGAACTGTTTATTAAATAAAGTATACGATATAGTTACCAGTCGGTGATGGTGCGCCACGAGTCTCTGCAGCGCGGCGCGCAGTGCGGGCAGCGTGGTGGTGGCGGCCAGGCGCGAGTACAGCGCGTCCGCCGCGCCGCCCAGTGCGCAGCACACACGGGCCGCGCTCGCGCCACTTATCACGTTGCCGCCCTGCACATAATATTGACCAATATCAAAAATATTATTCCACCTTGGAGAGCAACGTCAATTATGTTTGTCTAAGCGTAAGACGTCTACTGATCCCAAGATGCCCTTATGTTTTTCGGACATATCACCCCAAAAGAAGATACGATGGCACGGCTGGTTGTGAACGACTAAGGAGACACGTAGGTCTCCATAGGGAGGTGCCGTAACAGGCGTTGCATTGTGGGGACAGACCCGTTGCTTCCTTCAGATGCGGGTGGTGGCCACCGGGGAGGTTTTGGTGAGGTAAAAATCCTACAATCTCTAGTGCTTTTCCCCAACAAGCTAAGCGCCCTTTGAAGGTTTCCCCCCGTCAAAAAAGAAAAGAAAAAGTACGACTACGGAGAAGGGATCCCAAGACGAGAAGAAGGGATAATTATACATAATCGACCCCCTCTGACTAATTTCGACTACGGTAGCTAGTCTGTCAAACAGACTAACCCACCACTCGGGAGCTATTATTATAGGGCACAAAAACTGGTGCTGTTGTAGTCTCTCTTTTGTCACTCTCTTAGCCCGGTATGAGGACAAGATCGGAGTGAGGTGTGTATTATTCAGAACATGTCAATGTTACAGTTCTGCGACAAATATGACCGGCCGTAACATCATTTGATAAATCTTTTAGGCAATGTCGACAACTTTGGTTCTCTGTCTAATGATCATTTTGAATTTCATCAGAGATTACAAGTATAGTATTTAAATAAATAGTAAAAAGTAGATACTTTGGGGATATTGTTGATTACATAATATAGAGCCGACATTAATAAAGATATAAAGAATTATAACTTACCTCTTGTCTGCACGCTTCAACAATTTTCGCAACCGACATGTCGTTGTTTACGTTGCTTTCTAAGACTGGTTGCAAGAAGTTGAACACATCCACACTACAAATAACAAAGAAATCACTTTAATATAATCATTACTAATTTAAAACACAGAATAATCAGTTTCAATAATCTTCTTGTCAAAACTTAGAGAGTAATTTCAGAAGATTTGGCTACTAGAGCGACTTATTTTGTATGGAGCTTAAGTTATAGCTAATTTTAAGTGTGGGAGAGCCATGCTTCGACACAAATGGGCCGGCTCGGCCGGAGTGATACCATGGCCTCACAGAAAACCGACGTGGCGTTGTGCTTCGTTGTGTAAGTGAGGTTACCGGAGGCCTAATTACCCTCCTCCCCAATCCCCGAATCCCCAACAATCCTCAAATTTCTAATCCCTAAAAGGCAGGTAACGTACTCACAACACCTCCGGTGTTTCGGTTGTCCATGGGCGGCGCTGGTTGCTTACCATTAGGTGATCCGGCTGCTCATATACCGGCTTATTTCATAAAAAAAGTCTATTGACCTAAAGGTAACTTACTATAGGAGACTTGAGACTGAGCCCTAAATCACTCCAATTTTAAACTTACCAAGTCTCATCATCTTTGCCATCCAACCCCAGTTTAGCATCAGCTTGTAGTATAGATACGGTTTTATTTCTACCAGTCTGCATGGTGACTATAGGCGTAGCATTGTTTCCTTGATGTCCGAACAAAGAGTGCTCGAAGCTGGACACATATTGACACGCTGCGAATATATGCTCCCAACATTCTGGGGCTTTGGATCCCAGTTCTAGACCACCTGAAAGATATAAAATGTAGAAAGGATATCTGATTGAATGACAATGCACCGATCTTAGGTATGTGGTCCCATGCTGGGCGCCAACAGCTTAATGGCACCCGACATTACCTACTCAGGGCCAGAAAAATATTGCTGTTTTTGTTTCGAATTTTTTGGTTGTATAAAAGTGGTTATTTTTAAGCATTAGTAACGCAGTTATAAAACAGAAGATTTATGTTTATATAAAATAAATTTTAGCTATAATATAAACAAATGGGAGATGTACCTGTAATGAGTATATCCAAGGACAGAGCGTGTGTGGACAATATCTTCCCATTGGGTGGCTGTGAGATGGCAGAGTTTGCTAATAGAGCCAGTATACTGCTGCACCGATTTTGTAGGCTCAGAGTATTACTTACTCTGGCGGCCTGAAATGGCAATATTATACATGATAATAAGGTTCAAAATTTCAGTTCTTGTGTTATAGTTACTTTAACCTTGAATCTAATACTTAGAACGGCAAATGAAGACGTTGTGTTAAATTAATAACTTCACCATTGATATTATCATGATGACATTATGTGATTATGTGATGATGAGAGATAGAAGAAAGTGGATTCCAAGAAACATATTAATATGATGAAGACAGAAAGAAGAAGAAGTCAAGAAAACTATCTAAGTATCCCAATGTGCTTATCGATATATTTTATTAAACACCTCAGTATTTCCGATTATTTTAAATGTTATTCAAGTGCGACTGACGGGCAAGGGGTCTCGGGTTCGATTCCCGGGTCGGGCAAAGTATTACTGGGTTTTTAAAAAATTCTCAGTAGTAGCACGGAGTCTGGAATTGTGCCCGGTATATGGCAATAGGCTCACCCACTATTACATGGGACTCATAACATAAATAGTGAAAAGTGGGTGTTACATTGTACAGTGGCATAATGTGCACCTCTGCCTACTCCTTCGGGGATAAAAGGCGTGATGCTATATATATGTTTAAATATTTCAATTCTTACCTTATGCAGTCCTTCAAGACACTGTATCGTTAGTCCCTCCCAAGCTATTCGCTTTCTCTTTCCAAATGTGTTAATTTTCTTTGATATCATGCCATGCAGTTTCTGCTTCTTGTTGCCATATCCGGTTAGGGGTACACTTAATACCGTCACCATGGAGTCCCAAATACATGTTAAAATTCTGAAATAATAATAACTATTGTTCTTTCTGATTTTTGATTTACCTGACTCTAGTGCGGTTTCGTAAAAGTGTCCTTTTAGTTAGAAGCTCTTTAGTTTGACGACAATTTTAGTCTCTGTGAGATATATAACAATTTAGAGAAGAAGTTTCTAAACCAATTTTGATTGAGTTGAGTATTAAAACCACAAAACTTTATAAGATATTTTATGATACTGTTACCTTCTCGCCCATCGCAAGCTAGCGTCATGTTGTGGAGACTCGACCGTGTTGTTGTAGAAACACGAGACTTCCTTCAGTTTCTGCCAGTCTGACATCACTGGGCTTTGATCCAAACCACCAAGATCTGTGGAAAGAGTGATAATACAGTCAATATTGATAAACCATTTCTCACGACGCACTAATAAATTTAGAAACCATAGCAAAGGTTAAGAATCAAAACCGGGATGCGATAATTAATGGTAATCATTCGACTAACTGAAATGTCTAAGTTTAAAAAGTAGCTCACTGCAGTAGGGATACAACAAGGATAGTATATTATTTTGAAATATTCACCTGACAATAAGTGCAGCAATGGATGATCACTAGTAGGTACATCCTGCAGTAGATCAGTAGCAAGCACTTGTTGGTAGAGTTCCCTTAGCCACGTCGCGGACAGGTATACAAGGACGCCACTGCCTTGTACCTCTTCTACAAACTCATCTTCCGTTAGAGATACTTGCACTTTCTGTTGGAGAGAAATGTATAGGTTATTAATGTTACCTGTATTTGTATATTGGTACTAATCAAGTGATTCTATAAAGCAGTTACATTCACTGCTTTACATAAATGTATTTCGTGCTACTTTCGTTGTTTTAGTAGAATTTCTATTCAGCGTAGTACTTGTTTAGCAAGCGTTTAGCAGTGTAGTTATTACATGGGACTCTTAACATAAATAGTGAAAAGTGGGTGTTACATTGTACAGTGGCATTAATGTGCACTTCTGCCTAAAAAGGCGTGATGTTATGTTATGTTACGAAGTACTTGTTTACACCTTTGACGCCTACGTCGTTGTCAATGACGAATATTTTGAAGTGAATTTTTGTTGTGTGACTTAAGAAGTTTTGCCTGTTTGGAATTTTGGTTAGGTTTAAAAGCTTCACTCTGTAATAATATAAGGCACTGAAGTGAGAGCCTTTACTATATCTTTGGTTTACCCACGATTACATAACAAGAGCCAGTTTGCTTTTTCGATCTTCTTAAAGATTTCAATGGTCGCTCCTTACACTAGGTTGGTTATAGTAATTAGTCCTCCGTTGTTTGAGAGTGAGCAGTAGTGCGGCGTACGTGGCGAGGTAGACTCCGTCCGCGTTCATGATGCACGCCGTCGCGGGGGGCTGGGCGGCATTGTGCTGGCAACACTTTGATGCAAACTCTTGCATTGCTTCGTCCACCTGGGTGAGATAATGCAGTTGATCTTTAACTTAAAATTAAATAGAATATTACAACTTTTCTGCAGTACGGAAGACATATCTTATTGTTCAACAGTAATATCCCAGTAGGTACTTCTAGATGTAGCTAGAATCTGTTTGGAAAATCTTATCTGTCTTGCAAAAACTAGGTTTTTTTTGATGGGGGGAAAATCTTCCAATGACTTTTCCCGCCTGGGCGTGGAGAGAGGGAGTGTCAGACTCTTACTACTGTGACTAAACACCACCCCGTTCCTACTCCTGCACTTCGAACCGGAGCCCCGGTAACCAGTTAGGTCTTCCGCGGCTCCGTATAGGCATCAGCCCGACTGGGCCCCATCTGTGGTGGTCTGAAGTGTTAGGTACTGTTTGAATAACGAAGGAAAGTAAAACAATTATGACTTACCTCGATACAAGTACGGAGATTCAGCAGCTTCGGCAGAAGTGAGTTTTGTAGCGTTTTGATGAATTGCCGCGCGTTGTGCCTCTCCAAGTCCACGTTACATTCTGTTATGGTGCATCTGTAAAACAAATTAGTTTTTGACAATGACGAAAACTACTAACTGATGTGTCCACACTAAACAAGAATATTGAGTGTAATGTGGGGCAACATAAGTTGACGTAATTTTAAGTGTGGGAGAGCCATGCTTCGGCACGAATCGGTCGGCTCGACCGGAGTGATACCACGGCCTCACAGAAAACAGACGTGAAACAACGCTTGCGTTGTGTTTCGTCGTGTAAGTGAGGTTACCGGAGGCCCAATTACCCCCTTCCCCAGTCTCCCCAATCACCGAATCCCCCACAATTCTCAAACTCCTAATTCCCAAAAGGCCGGTAACGCACTTGTAACGCCTTGGTGTTTCGAGTGTCCATGGGCGACGCCGATTGCATCAGGTGATTCGTCTGTCCGCTTACCGACTTATCTCATAAAAAAATGTGTTGAAGCCATATATCATAAAGATTTTCTTGTTTTTTGGTTAAGGTGAGAAATCGTAGTAAAAAATTACCACGGTGACTTTTTCTTCCAAGTGTCTACAGGATGGTTTCTGTGGACATGTCCGCGAAAATTCTAAAATAAATTTCTAGATCGTCAAAAAGCTTACCTGCCAAGGTTCAATGTCTTAGGCACAGCTTTAGGTTTAGTCTGTGCGTGTGTGGTAGTATCTCCTGTAGGCAGACTGGCTCGGGCTGGCAGGAACACGTTGTCCGCGTCAGAGTCTGCCTCGCCCTCACTGCCTGAACTTATGTTCTCGGGGCCTGAGGTGTCTGGAAGAATGGCAGAGAGAACTCTGTAGGTTATAAAACTAAACAATAGAAGACAAAATTGCAGAAGAATCTATAAATTCTTCTTAGAGTTCCATATGCATTCTTGGACTCGCAGTTTCAGTTATGGTGTATATGGCTCAATCATTAGAAATGTTTCAAACACAAATCATTACGCCTTTTATCCCTGAAGGGTTAGGCAGAATACACATTACGGCATTCAATGCCACTGTACAATATAACACCCATTTTTCACTATTTATGTTATGATTTCCATGTAATAATTGGTAAGCCTATTGTCATATACCATACCAGACACAATTTCAGACTCCGCGCTACTAGTGAGTATTGCTTAAAAACATATTAATACTTTGCTCGACCCGAGAATCCAACCCGAGACCCCTAGACCGACAGTCGCACTTTGCGACCACTATATCAACGAGGCAGTTTTTAGAGTTACATACCTGATGAATCATGTTCCTTTGATTCAGTACTTTGTAACACCGCCACCACATCTCTGAAACAAACGGACACATCACGATGAATACAGGGCACACTCGTGTTTTAGATTTGTGAATTAATGAACATTGTAAAATAGATTCCTTCCTTCTTCCTTCTTTCCCCAATCTCCCCAATCCCTGAATCCCCAACGATCCTCAAACTCCTAATCCCCAAAATGCCGGTAACGCACTTGTAACGCCTCTGGTGTTCCAGGTGTCCATGGGCGACGCCGATTGCTTACCGTGGTGATCCGTCTGATCGTATACCGATTTATGGCATAAAAAAATAGATTTAAGCTTAATGTCACACTTCGCTTTAAGTACATTCAGTTCATTGTAACACTCTTACCTATACGGGCTTGGCAATCTAGCCAACGTCTGATAAGTCAAAGGTCCAGTATAGTCAGCGTCCTGTAGTTTCTGCCAGTGGCTCAGTATGAGGGTGGCTATCTCAGGAGTTATATACTCAGTGGTTCCAGAGCACAGCTTCTCTAGTGCATCCAGTAATGATACTACGCACTCCACTGCTGCAGCCACTACGTCTGGATTTCCGCTTCTACCGCATTCTTCTATGCCGTCCATTATTCTGGGGAACAAATCGGAGTGAAGTTAGTTGCAAACTGTGCAAAGGAGGTGAAGTTAGTCGTGATATGAAGTGTGTAACAGTTGATAGTTATATTAGTTAATCTGGATCTGGATCGTAATCAAGTTGTTGATAAGTCGATCTTCGTATCTAGTGCTGTTCCAGAGAACGTTTTCAGAAATTGGAAAAAGGCTTTATATTCATTTTAGAATTAGAATTAAAATCAAGTGGAATTGTAATCAGCTCACTGTTCTCTCTCTAATTCAATAAGAAAAGTTACACAAACTAACAGGCCCAAAAATCTTCAACAGAATCTAGACAGAATTTAGAAATAATAACCGAAACCATAAAACTGAAAAGACCCGACTTACAATCTTATAATCGCCATATCATCACTGTGCCTCTCATGATGATCTACTTTCTTTAGCAGGATCAACTGGCACAGCCTCTTGGGGTTCTGCAGCATTTCCCTGGTACTCCGCAGAGGCTCTACTCGGTGGGAGACTGGAGGGTACAGGAGCATTCGGTGGTAGAGAGCCTCTAACACTGGGCGGAGGTTTGAAGTGGACCCTACTAGGCGGACCAGCTGGTTGGCAATACTGGAAGAAAAATATGACAAAATGAAATTAAGGGATTTAAAATGGGCTAGATTACAATTATTTTGTAGTTTTATTAGATTTACTTTTAGACATTTTATTATGTAGATAGTTATACTGGACGTCTAGCAATTTAAGTATCTACCTGTAAATAGCTTTAGCTTGCTTGCTGTTAAAGCTGGGTGCGGAGTTTAAGGCGCCAGATCCTCGACCGGAGTCATCCACCAAATGACCATCATGTTCTCTGAAGTCATTAAATATAATGTCAAGTCATTGATGGCATTACAAAGCGATCTCTAAAGAATAGAATATCAAGAAAGTCGAATCAATCTTTGGTCCAAGTAATTAAGCTATATTTTAGTCGTACCTTGATTTAATATTCTTGTCCACGCGAGGAGTTCCGAGAAAGGAGATGAGAGCCGGACAGAACTTCTGCCAGAGGAACGTTGTGAAATGGGAGTTGCCGCTCACTCGCTCTGATAGACTTGACATCAGAGTCAATAGGCAGTCTAAGAAGAATAGTGCTAGAGGATTCTGTTTGGGAGACCTGAAAACAAATAATTCATGATTTTGTATGTATTAGGGGAGATCAAGGAAGAAGTTTTTATAGTAGACGTGGCAGGCAAACCATCTTACGATCTACCTGATGGAAAGCAGTCAAAAAAGTGTGGGAGAGCGATGCTTCGGCACGAATGGGCCGGCTCGACCGGAGTGATACCACGGCCTCACAGTAAACCGACGTGAAGTAACGCTTGCGTTGTGTTTCGTCGTGTGAGTGAGGTTACTGGAGGCCGAATTACCCTCCCCTTCCCCAATCTCCCCAATTCCTGAATCCCCAACGATCTTCAAACTTCTAATCCCCAAAAGGCCGGTAACGCACTTGTAACGCCTCTGGTGTTTCAGGTGTCCATGGGCGACGCCGATTGCTTACCATCGGGTGATCTGTTTGCTCGTTTATCGGCTTATACAATAAAAAAATAGTGCAGGACATGGAGAAGACCAAAGGTATCTTAGTAGTTACTTCATTCATTCGACTGTTTAAAAACTTGCTTTAGTAACGATCTAGTCAGAACAATTTGAATCCTCAATAAATAGACTTACAGTTGAGTTTCAGATAGCCGGCTGCATAGGTACTGTATGACAGGTATCACTTCACTGTAGCATCCCACGGCCACGATGTGGTTCCTGCCCAGCGGAGATCCCTCTGAGAGCAGTTCTTGGCACTCTTCATCTGGATATAGATAAAAAGCGTAGAAGTAAGACTTCTAGTGACGGATAGAGGAGAATATATTCAGTCATGTGATGACGGTACAGGAGCATACAATTGTCACTACCCGGCACCCTTTCAATTCCCGTGGGTGTCGTATCAGCCAATGACGGAACTACGTATTTATCAGAGACTAGGCAACAGACTTGGTTTTCAACTTCCAAGCGGGGAGAGTATGGAAACCTCTCTTTTTAAACTATTTTATTTAGTTTACCTGTTAGATTTATTCTTATTTGAAGACGAACTCCATAATCTATTATCGCGAGACACTAAACTAGCTGTTGATGATGATGAAGTGTATTGTATGAAGTGTAGTGTATTTAAGATGTATAAGCAAGTACCTAGTTGTGCGCAGTATGCCCTCAGTGCCTGCGCGGCGGCGGCGCGCGCGGCGGCCGCCACGTGCGCGGGCGCGGCCGCCGCCTCCCCGCACCGACCGCACGCCCACACACACAGGCGACCGTTCAGAGTACGACGCGGGGACAGGGCTAGCGAGAGGTACATGCGGAAGATTTGTACCTGTACACCACCAATAGCAAACGCTTTATCCGGTTGAAAAAGTTATGTGAGTCCCAACTAAAAACTAACAAAGTTATAAATTCGAATTTGTTTATGGCAAGCCCAAGAGAGCCAACAGAGAAACATAGTTTTAAAAATACATAGCTCAAAGGGCCCATTATCACTTTGTCGAAACAGTCAAACTTCAGTGGAAGGAAACGGGCTGATGACAATTACAGAAAGGCACACTTCTAAATGTGACAAACAGCTAATAAATGTATATCACCTTACCTGCGTATCTGGCAACTGATACATGACAGATGCGGTAGCGCAGAGAAGTTGTGAAGGCATCCATAGGGAGTCATCTTCCGGCTCAATTCCTCGGTGAAATCTGTCATCTCGGAGTATTTTCTGAAACATCCGAAATAAAGCAGTGTTGAAGAAGAATATAGGTACGAAATGAAATAAGGTGTTCTATAATGTGGGTACCCACAGACCAAAGAAAATATACCTAGAGCTGGGTACCTACAGTTCGAACAGTTGGACAGGACAAAGAATACAAAATTGCTAAATTGTCTAACAATAAATAGTCAAATCTGGTAAACACGATCAATTGCGTCACTTTAAATGCTATAAAACATGTTAATGACTAAGGAGCCACTGGAACCACACTTATAACTACGTTGTTTTAAACATGACCTAATAATTATAATACATACATGGAACCCCTGCAGGGCGTACGTTACGAGGCGCGGACGCTTGGTTTCCAGCGCCGTCTGCAGCGGCAGGAGGCACGCTCGCCGCAGCTCGTACGACGCACGACGCGCGTTGTTCTCTTGCATGCATAGTAATTCTGTACCGAATATAATAAATAATATATTGTTGTTTTGAGTAAAGGTAATACGAGAGTGTGATGAAAATATTTTTTTAGACGTTAACCTCTCTTGCAGTCCATAAAAATTTGTTCAGGTAGCGTCATAGCGCCACTCTGTGATGTATGAAGAAGCCATATGGTTCCATATGTTATTATTATGGTATTATGTTGTCGGAACTCGAAACTCATGCTTTCGATAAAGTTTTAGAAAACAGAGTTTATCTTTTTATCCTTATCATAAAGACAATTGACGCACTAAAAACATAGATTTTTGTTTTAAACGAAAGTGTCAAGAGATATTACTTTCTTAACCTGTACCTAAATTCACAGCGTACCTCAAGAAAATATATTTGGACTCTTCTTTATTATGTGTTTATTATTTATTACAAACATATCATTGACATAAATAACTTGAAAAAAAAATATTATAAATAAATTAATAACTTTTAATATGTACCCATATTTACGAAATAAAATATCTTTATATATATCTTGTTATAGATTGTTTGTGACGACGGTCTAAATTACCTACATATATGTCTATTTTTGTCAGAATATATTTCAAGAGAAGGCATAATTTTTAGCTAAGTGCTTTATAAAAACCAATAATTGCCAATGAGCAACCCCATCATTACAAGATTGCAAAAAGTGAGTCATATTTTCGTGACTCATAACATTTTACGATATGTTTGTACAAAACACAAACTTAACCATATGGTAAGCTTTGTAAGTTAATCACTGTTGGTAACATATCAGCATCAATATCTATAAAACTTTGAGAAAGACATCAAAGGCTTGAAACTGCATTTCCGAGGGGCGCAGTGGCGGTCATTACTGCAGGTATCGATTTATAACTTCAACTGCATAGGTACACATAATATCATAATATACAAGTGCCTATAAGAACGTATTATTAATCTTATGGACTAAGTATTTACCTAGGGCATCCTGACATGATTTCCTAAGACCTGTAAACTTCACTCCAGATGCTTCCTTATAAATGTCCTGGAGAAGTTCCTCCATTTTAACACGAAGACAACATATGACCGTAACTCACTTCCCTATTGCCACAAGAACTTTCACATCCTTCACAAATATATTGAACTTTATTTTTAATTAATTAAAACTCACAATTATATGGTTAAATGTTTATTAAAATCGTGTAATTTAGGGAAACAACGTTATTTGAGTGGGTGGAAGTGTATCTTATCTGAGTTGTACGTAAGCACGGCGACGGAGCATGCTCAGTGCGGGAAATCAATACTTCCATACGGCTCTGTGTTTGCTGAAAAAACTATGTCAACAGGTGGTTGTTTTATATTTATAAACGCAAGATTTACCTAATTTGTTTTCAGAATGTGGCTTCTTAGTTGTAAGAATGAATTTTTGTTTGTTACATAATACATAAATTAATAATTTGTTATCATCCTGTTTAGTAGGTAAATCGTATTTTTAAAGTCCATTCAGCCCAAAGTTACATTTTAAATACGTTAATGCCTTAAAATTGGTATGCTGCATTAGTCCACTGTTAGCAGCAGGTAGCTATATGTTAAAATCATATACAAAAAATAATATAAATTCTGTGACGCGCGTTGTTCCACTTTAATAAACGCTTACCAATTAAAATTTTTAAAAGCGCCCTTGTTTTCAATTTCGTTATGTATAGTTACAGAGATATTTCTATGAATGCGCAAATCGATAATATTATTTTTAGATAAACTTGTTTTCACTTTTGTAAAAGTACCTATATTTAGGCATCACGTTATCAGAACATTACAGTACCTCTAACAAGCAACGTGTCTATTTAGATTGTACAGATTTCAGTACAACGTTTTCATAATAATATTTTATATTTTTTATGTTTTTTAAGAAAATAATTTATAAACTTTCAGACCTGAAAACTGAATAATACATAAAACTTTTTCAAATTTCGCGCTTATGTCTGTCACCCAGTGCTGTCACCACTCACTTTGCTTGCCATAGTTGCCATAGAGCAACAAGAGCAGGATCAATACAGACTAAAAATATTATCGTTTCGAACAAGGATGTTGAAAAAAAGGTTTTGAATGTCCATTGAACATTGTGTCCTATTCAACTTTGATGAGATACGTTGAATTTTTTACACACAACGATCACGCGTTGTAATACTATATTTGTGGTCTTTAGTTTCAAAGGCAAATACGAGCCGTATGAGATATGAGAAGATTAGTCGATTATATAAATATTAATTGATGAAAACCGGTTTTTCTACAAATTTTTAATGCCCACCCAAAAGGCCAACTGACAGATTGAATTGAAGCCAGACAGAAGACAGATTTGACATTTGATTGTCAAAATAGTCTTCGAAAAAATGGTGTCTTGGAGTGCTTTAGGCCGATCTTTCGGCTTGAATTTAATCAAAAACCACGTCAAAACACCAACTACTGTCCAAAATGTAACCTTCACAACATCTAAAGCCTTAAAAGGGGGCCATGAACACAAAACTTTCGTCCTACAACCTTCTAGGTAATGATGGTTTTCAGTGATTACCTAACCATTTTCTTGTTCTGTTGTTTGTTATTTTTATAAAATTACAGGATAGGTAAAAGTGTGCATTGAAGGATACTCAACGTTTTAACTTTAGTAGATATTTAACGTAATTTACTATTGTATTTGTTTTCTAACCTAAACGTTTGGTTGTCAGGTGGCAATGGCACAAATTCAAGGATATGTTCCACTTCTACACCATGCTGGGCTTGATCCCAGTGACTGCCATAATTTTTTACACCAACGTGTTCATCGGGCCGGCCCAGCTGACTCCAATCCCCGAAGGTTATGAACCCAAGCACTGGGAGTACCACCGCCACCCAATAACAAGATTTATCGCCAGATACATTCATCAGAGTCCTCAAGAGGTAATATATCAATTACTGGACAGTTATTAGTATTTTTATCATTCAGTTTTGTTTGTATACTACATGGGGCCTTGAACACTGGTTTGAATAAAGGTATGGATGGATATGTGTGGATCAATACTGTCAGTTGCATTTTTTTCTTATTGGTTTTGATTTTTCAAACTAGATTTGTCGGTTTTATTTGGAAAAAACGAATGGGTAGATATTTGGTTTTTGAGATCATACATGCTTTATATGGAGTGCCCAAACCTAAGAAGTTTGTAATGGTATAATGAATTACACTCTCCGCTCCTACTTACTTTGACTTTGCCACAAGACTCAACTTGGGGACTACACATTCTTTCTGGATAAGCCTATACCTTTGTTGTGTACCAACTTTCAAGATTTGGATAAGACTGCAGTCTATGTTTTCTTTTAGATTGTAATTAATTATAGTATAGAATAAAAAGTCTGATTTCTAAAAGTTAATTAACCCGTTGAAAATTTTTGTAAATCATCCCCTAAATTTGTTCATACAAAAGTAGTCTCTAAACATTGGAAATAAGGTCTATAATGTAGTTAGTGGAGAGCGATCACTGGTGACCGCTTGGGGGTATATGGGTTAATTACCCATTTAGGGAAATATAAAATACTGAGCTTAGTGTTGCATGGAACTCGAAACTGGACATAATCAATGAAAAGTGGGTGTCACATTAAAAATCTTCTATTTATTATTTGTCTCGGTAAAGTTAAAATGTTGAGTATTGTAAAAGTTAATGATTTACATTTTGCGGATATGTGTTATGTTATTAATTTATTATACATACATTAATATGTGAAAATTTGTCTGTATAGATAGTATAGGACTATTAGAAAGGTACTAAAACACTGCTTGTGCTCAGTATTATGACTGCATGTATCTGGTATGAACTTATTAGAATTATATTTTTTTAATAATCTTGTATCACAGTCAACAAATCAATTCTGCACTCCTCTATGTGTCTGGAATCAATTATGTGTACTATTTGATGGGCCGATGTTTAACTACCACATTTGTTAGCACAATCAGCCTTTTAGCAAAATGAGGTAGACTGCTGAGGCAGATACTTTTTAAATGCAAATATCTCATGATATTATAGTTAATACTAATAACTGTTTTAAAACTGTTACAGGACTATGAAAAATTCCTTCACTTCCTTGATGAAGAAAAGCAAAAACAAAAGATACGTAAGCTGGAAAAGGAGATTGTTAAGAAGATGGCTGAGAACCACGACTACCAGGCCTACTACTACAAACCAATGGTCAACAAATACCTCCGCATCAACAAGAAGACCGGTGAGGAACTGTATGACCGTATTGGTGATGAGTTCCAAGAATAAACATTTTTTGGAATATTTCAATGACTATAGTATATATTAGTAATCAAGTGTATTGTTGAATATTTCAATGTAGATAAATAAACTATTAGTTGTTTTTAATAACAATTTTATTTGAATTGATTACAACTGGCAACACTTGTAGTGTTATAATCTATGTCACCTTTTGTAAATGATTTTGCTGTTATTTATTTACATACTATGTTTTACACCCAGAAATGTCTTTCTAAGTAGTGCAGTGTTGTATTATTAAGATATTTTGGGTAAAATAAAAGAGTAAGACATATGGTAACATTGTTATTTATTTTACAGGAAATTTCTAACGATTGACAATAATAAATTCCGACTTGTGGAACCCTTACAAAATTAATGTCAACACTTACCTAGCAGTATGCTAAATGCCTGATATGATGCTACTTAATGTTTATACGTAATATTTTGGAATCGTTACTGTGGTCGTATTTTGTAGAAATAGGAAGGATTAATTTATTTATTTAGGGAAATTATTTTAGGTATCTATGGATATAATAGATAGATGGAATTGATTAGTTTGTCAAAGAAGGTTTAGGATCATTCAAGAGTAGGTGTTATGAAAATCATATCTTTATAAGCATTTTCAACAAATACTTCTTGAAGGTCTGGTAAAGAAATGTACTCATGCTGAAATTAGTAATCTAAATATATTATAAGCTTCTCCTACGGACGAACTAAGAACGACGAAATCTACATAATTATGTAATAAATAAATTCTTCGGCGGTGCGGTTTGCACGAAGCTCTTAACTATACTGTTACACAATTAAATTACAAAACGATATGATTTCATTATCCCGTTCTTTCAGTCTTCGCAGTTTGTAGAGTTCCAATTATGACCCAACAACTATGTACTTAGATTGCTTCTCATAATAACATTTTTTGACTTTAAAAATATTTACAACATTCCTATGTTAAACAACAATTTCGATTAGAAATTGCAACTAAGCTAGATAATTATTAACAAAATTGTAAAAATCAGTATCAAAGCGTAAACACAATCATCATCCGATCGAAGTAAAAAAATAAAATTTAAACTAACAGTATCTAATTTACCGTACGTAATGGACTACAATAGACTGTTAGAATACGCTATTTAAAATTGTTTTACGATTCCTCAATGATAACAATTTTCAAATCTAAAATTTAAGACGGCTACGAGTTTCTACAATGTAAAATTTAAACTTTATAACTCTATTTGTTTTTTTCTTTCTCAGCTTGCGCGGCGAGCTTTGCTTCTTTTTTGGCCTTTTTCTTTTCTTCCTTCGCTCTTAGTTTGGCTTGTTTCTCCTCCTCCTTTGCTAATAGCTTAGCTTGTCTCTCTTCTTCCTTAGCTTGAAGCTTGGCTTCTTTCTTCGCTTCCTTCTCCGCCTTTAGTCTCATCTTTTCTTCCTTTTTCTTTTCTGCTAATTCATTTTTCCTATTGTCACTACTTTCATCTTTTTTATTTTTATCTTCTTGTTTTGTATTTTCATCATCTTTTTTCTTTTTGTCCTCTTTTTTGGGTTTAGATTTGGGGTTATCTTTTTTCCGTTCAGTCTCTTTGCTGTGATCTCTGGAATCGGGCGGGTCGTCTTTATTTGAAGGTTTTAGTGGCCGGAAGAAGTGTTGCTTGTCCTTTTGTGGCGACGTTTCTAGTTGCGTTACAATTTTCTGGGCACACCTGTAATGTAGAAAAAATATTCATATGAGTAAATAATATTCAATGCAGCAAACATGTCTTATCTCTAATAATTTTACCTACTTACCTCGATTAATAAGATAACATGTATAAGGAGGTATTTAGGAGGTTGTCAATGCTTACCTAATTCTAGTGGAGGCGGAGGCAGCAGCGGCACTCTCTCTTCGTCCCTCGCGGAATTCCCTCTGGAACTCTCTGATGGGAGGCAGGCGGCCCGAGGGCTCCCCAGCTGTAGGACCTCCCGTGTAGCTATGGACTTGATAGTCTTGTAACCGGGCCTGTGGGAAGACAAACTGGTTAATATTTTTTTGAACCAAATCACTAATCAGTCATTCATTTAAGTAGGACCACGAATACGAGTAGCTTTATGTGCGACTGTGGAGCAAGACATCTCCAGTTCGATTCCCAGGACAAGTAAAGACTCCTTTTTGGTACTTAGCTTACTATTCCCTTTATACGGGACATGATTGGTGTTACAAGTAATTGTTGATTAGTACCTACTTATTATGTAGGTAAGTACTTATTTAAAGCATCTCCTGCTTACCTTCATACTATGATGCTGCGAACGTCTTAACGAGTTAGAGGCGGGTTGTCTCGGCCGCGGCGGCACGGGGACTCTGGGCACTGCGCCCAAACATGCTCCTCCACACTTAGCTCCTCCACATAACTTCGTCGAACAGCTGCTCGGGACGTTGCCTCCGCTGTTTGATGACACGGAAGACACTCCTGGAATCGGAGATTTGAAGTAAATAAGTGTGATAGGTAAGTAGGTAAATATCAACTTCACATTTTAGGAATGAAAGAAGATTAATTTGTCGAATAAGTGTTTTTGTCTACTTAAGGCAAACAAAGGAGCTAAGTAATAACGCACTGAGCCACGACGAGGTTTCCATTTTAAGAATTCCATATATGACATCACGCTTTTTATTCCCGATGGGGTGGTAGGCAGAGGTACACATTACGGCACTTAATACCACTGTACAATGTAAAACCTACTTCACTATTTAAATGTTATGAGTCCCATGTAATAGCCTATTGCCATATACCGGGTATAATTCCAGACTCCATGCTACTACTGAGAATTTAAAAAACCCAGTAGGTAATATTTTGCCTGACCCGAGAATCGAACCCGAGAACCCTTGCCCAGCAGTTGCACTTGCGACCACTCAGTCAACGAGGCGATCTAGAATTCCACTGTTTCCGAAAAAGCTTTGTTATGACCTTGTAAGATTGGTACAAAATGTAAGGCATGTAGATTGGAGACTATCTATCTAATTAATAAAAACCACAAAGAACTTCTCGTAGCAGTGATGGAAACCACGACATGGTACAAAGCGACTCTTCGCCATGGCTATACCTGACCTAACAATTTAGAATTGTTATTTGTAGAAATGAGAAAGAAAGATTATTTACCTGAAAGGGAAGACTCGCCGCTGGTGACGGAGTATAGCGATGCGGAGGCGGGCACAGAGCGAGCTCCCACCGAGTAGCTGGACACGGAGCCTGGCACACCCCACGACTTCGCACTGCCACTCGAAACCTGGAAGTTAGGGATATAAAATTAGTTAATTATAGATCAAATGATTTAAGAAAAGTTTATTTAGTCGTTCTAACCCTATCCGATGTAAGACCTGAAGATCCATTTATCTTTAGTTTTATCAATCAATACATAGTATAAAACAAAGTCGCTTTCGCTGTATGTCCGTATGTATGCTTAGATCTTTAAAACTACGCAACGGATTTTGATGCGGTTTTTTTTAATAGATAGAGTGATTCTTAAGGAAGGTTTGTATGTATAATACATGCATATTGCACCCGTGCGAAGCCGGGGCGGGTCGCTAGTAACATAATAATATGTAGGTAGGTAAGTCCCATGTATCATGTAGCTAATATAAAATAATCGGGCGGGTCTGCTACACACTCCGGGCTTTCAGACAGTGTTACAACGAGAGAACCGAAAAATCCCAACAGTATCTAGGTCTTTATTTGGCCTTTAGTTAGAAAAATCTGTAATTATGATTAGTCTCACCTGCCAACTCTTGCTGGTGACAAGCCGCGGTGCCTGCCGTAGTCGAAGGATCTTGGCGCGGCAGATGACGCAGCGCAGCGGCAGCAGGCGCTGGCTGACGGCCATCTGTATAGTCTTCACGAAGCACCGCCGACACACTACCCTGTGCCCACATGGTGACGTTTGCATCGTCGCCTTCGCGTTCACACATATAACACACTGAAAATGAATAAGAATGTGGTTAGATTAATGATTCAGTTAATCAAAACATAGGAATCGAATCCGAAACCCTTTAGTCTTGTGTCTAACAAGGCAGTCAATTTAATTTATACACAAATTAATTAATAAATTCATTAACATAAAAATAATTACACAATTAGCGTCTACATTGCTCTGAAACCTTGGACCGCGTCAAGGTTGATCGTCAGCTGTTTGCATCGGCCACTGAGTCGCCGGAATCAGACGTTGTTTACACTATTTCAAGCTTTCACTTATTATCCGATTAGATTACTTAAGTTTGGATTTAGTTTCCAAGTGTCTGACTGAAGTTTGTAGAGAGATTAACAGGGTAATCTAGCTAATACGTACATAACATGGCTCTTATAGGTAATTCTGGGAGTCCACATAAAGAAAATCAGACATTTTGCTAAAATAAAAAAAAATCTTTATGCCAATCGAACTTCACGGGCAAAAAGAACTTCCTGAAAAATCTCGATCGACACGATAACATCACGCCTTTCAGTCACCGTACGGATAGACAAAGGCAGAGCAAGCTCTATGTAAAAACTAAAAACCCGAAGAGCGTGTTTCGTCGGCAATAATTAATTTGCAGATAAATTCAAATGGGTAGGTATGTAGTCATGTGTACCTAGTATCTATAAATTCAAGGTGCTTATTAGGCATTGGGTACTGTCAACTAAATAGGTGTAGCTATATATTATGCAGATAAAGTACCCCTATATTTGTGTTTATAGTAAGTTATCCAGAATGGCGCATTGCGATACATAGGATGTAAGCCAGGGACGCAGCGTAAACAAAAATGTGAAAATATTACGCCACGTCACAGAAAACCCGCCATGGAATTAAAAAGTTAATGAAACCCGAAAACGTTGCTAATTCCCGCTTAATCCTCGCTGCATTAATGAACTTCGTTCTAGCGGAATGAGAAAATATTATGTACACTTTGTATTTTAACCGACCTTAAAAAGAAAAAAAATATGTAATACTACAGGTCAAGCTGAGAACCTCCATTTGAGTATGTATGTGTGTGTGTGCGCGATTACCTCGCGATTGGCTGAATCGATTTTGATGGGGTTTTCAGAAAAGTGTTTTTAACACACCACACCACATCATCATTGAGTGTCAACGCAACAGCGTTTGATTTTGTTCCGTAGTTTTTTATTTGTAAAAGTAGTATAAAGTTTGTTAAAGTGAAAGTGACTTATATCAGTATAAAGCTAAGAAAGTGGACAATAAAACATAGTTTATTCCAACTTCAAACTCCAACTGAATCAAAAGTAATTATAATATTATTGTTTAAAATTTCTTCTAACGAATATTGTTCCTGACCTACGACAACCCGCGGGCCGCCCGCTGTTACGCACACACGCGCGCACACACGCATACTGGAATAGAGGTACGTGTATCGGCCCGCGGTCGCCTGGTCGCCCGGCCAGCTTTGTTTGCATATACCTGCGCTTTATTTAAAATAAAATAATTTTTCTGCTGTACGCACGGGAATTGCTGATTTCGCATTAGAAAATGATTTGTGCTGCATGCAATAATGAATTACTGCCTGGGGATGCTTATCTTGAATGTACTGTGGATACATGTATGAAGGTTTATCATTACCTTTGCAATAACCGTGAGCTTACGCTTAATGAAAGGGCTGCATGGATCTGTCCTGAGTGCTGCTGTGCAGTAAAAAAAAAAGGAGGGTGTAACGACGACATACCTATCCCTGCATTAACACCGATTTCGCAGAAATTTATCTCAGTTCGAAATAAAAGTAACACACCTGCTCCACAATCTTCACAAAGAGTTGGTCATGATATGGGAATGGGGATGCAACTTCTACGTGAGCAGATTAATTTTTTATCTGAACAACTAATAGAGGCTTTGGCAACTATTGACAAACATCAGTCAGCATTAACACTGTGTACGAAGCAGATCGAGATATGCAATGAGAAACTTGAAAAATTTGAAGATTCTTCTCATTGTACCTGCAGCCATGTTACCGTCCCATGTCTGCCACCTGCACCCTTTAAAGACGGTAATAAGGATAACCATACCGAAATACAAAGTGATAAGAGTAAACCAAAACAGAAAGCAAAGTCTAAACCTCAACAAGCAGCCCCGAAATCAGGGGAAGGACCCGTAATCACACAGGCGAACAACTTTGAAAAGCAGATATTCGTGCCTCCCGGGGTAAAGACACCGGCTTCACCTAAAGGGAATATCCTGAGCACAGGATTGGTGACGCAGGAACGTATTAAGCCGTTGTTGCAGACTGCGAATACCAACACCAATACTAGTATCAATACCGACTCAGCAGAGGAAGAATGGATAGAAGTCCGTAAGAAAAAACCGAAACGTATAAGTAGTGTGCGAGGTACTGCAGGTCCTGATGTTACTATGCTCAAAGCGGTAGAATTCCGCAAATATATCCATCTGTGGAACATGATATCGGGTGGAGATGACATTCGAGCATACCTTCAGAAACTATTCCCGGACTTCGCATGTACCGTAGAGGAGCTCAAGTCTAGGGGCGACTACAAGTCTTTTAAAGTGGGCGTTCCACCTGAGTGCTACGAGAGGTGTATGTCGCCGGAAATCTGGCCTACTAATGCCCGAGTTAAAGATTGGTTTTTTCGAAGACAACCAAATAATAGAAAAACAGCAACAACAAATCAAAACTAAGTATCTCAAACAGAAACGGAAAATAAATTTAATTTATCAAAATGTTAGAGGCTTGAACACAAAGTTGTCATTTTTCAGACAGAATCTTTCAACGCTTGAGTGTGATATCGTCGCGGCTACTGAAACGTTTCTTACTGGCTCTGTAACAAACTACGAATTGACTAATGGTGACTGGAGAATACTACGTCGGGATCGTGTCAATGGCATCGGAGGTGGTGTTATTCTGCTTACACGACCCGGTGTCGAGGCTGTAAGACGTGTGGATCTGGAGACTTCGGATGGCGAGGATCTTTGGGCACAGATTGTGACGGACTATGATACGATTTACGTATGTGTTGTGTATATCCATCCAAGAGCGTCTGACGAAGTGTACATGCGGTGGTTTCAAAAAGTCGAATCAGTGATTAGTGATATTAAAGGTGCAGTTATTATTATTGGGGATTTAAATTTAAATCCTAAGTATGCTTCAATTAGTATTTTAAGTTATTATTGTTATTTTCTCTCTGTTTGTGGATTGTCTGAAAGGAATGAAGTTGTTAATGCGTATGGAGGTAAACTAGATGTAGTGTTGATGTCGGATAGTATTGACCATGTAGATGTGCTTGAGATGAACTGCGGAGGCCTTGTTCCAAAGCGTGATAACTATCACCCCCCTTTGGATATATTCTTTGAGCGTAATTATCACTTAAATCAGCAAAATTCCGAAAAGTCTAGTCCAAGTAATGTTGACTTACAAAAAGACTGGAACTTTGCTAAAGCAAATTATGAACTAATGTATAGGCGAATCTCGGAAACAACATGGCAGGATATATTTGGTGCTTGTAATGTTGACGAGGCTGTTGATTGTTTTTATAATTCTATTTACTCCATATTCAATGAATGCGTCCCAAAAAAATTAAGATCCAGGAAACCTACGAGGAGGTATCCGGTATGGTACACCGCTGATCTAATTAAAATTATAAAGCAAAAAGCTGAATTGCATCGCCAATGGAAAACCTCACGTGATAGCGAAATATACCTTCAGTTTTCTCGTCTCAGATCACAAGTTAAGAAAAGCATGTCAATTACTTACAAAGACTATCTAAGTCGCATTCAGCGTAAACTTAATCGTGATCCTGCAGCTTTTTGGCAGCACGTAAATAGTTTGAAAAGTAGAGGCGGTTTTGCGCCTAAAGTCAGTTACAACGGAGTGGAATACGAAGGCAGTGATGCAGCACAGGCGTTTTCAAATTTCTTTGCTAATGTATTTTTACCCGACGCACCCCTTCTTGATTGTAGGAATCTGCTTGATTGTCAAAATTATACAGCGAATTTGGTGGACATTCACGAGATAACCAGCAAGGACTTTGTTACTGGCATTACTAATTTAAAACCAAATAGTGCTATCGGCCCTGATAATATACCTGCATACATTATTAAGGGTTGTAGTGAGTTCTTGAAGTCGCCACTCCTTCACATATTCAACTTGGCGTTAAACTCAAGGACATATCCTAAACGTTGGAAAGTTTCGCGTGTGCAACCTATCCCCAAAACAAACGATCATACACTTGTGGAAAATTATAGACCCATAGCGATACTGTCATCATTGCCAAAGTTGTTTGAATCTATTATACATAAACATATTAGTAAACAAATACAGCCTTATCTATGCGATTCGCAACATGGTTTCAGACTGAACCGCTCTGTAAATACTAACCTCTTGACATTGGTTGATCTTGTCTCGCAACACTTAGATAGAAACATTCAGGTTGACGTTATCTATTTCGACTTCAAAAAGGCGTTTGACAGGGTTGATAATGATGTTCTGCTATGTAAATTATATGGAATGGGTTTTTCTTCTAACCTTCTTGAATTCTTTGCCAGTTACTTGCGTGATCGCCAACAGTACGTGAAGCATGGATGTTTTGTCTCACCTTCATATCATACTCGTTCTGGCGTCAGTCAAGGTTCAATCTTGGGGCCGTTGCTGTTTGGCCTAATGGTGAATGACTTGGAAGCATCTCTTAAATGTGCTAGGTGTTTGCTATATGCGGATGACCTCAAATTGGTGTACGGTGTTCAGAACATAGCGGACACAAAATCATTGCAGGGGGACATTGAATCCGTACTTAACTGGAGCATTAAAAATCAACTTAATTTTAACACGGCCAAGTGCAATGTGATGTCTTTTACTAGAGCTCACAAGCCCATTCATGTGGACTACTATTTGGCAGGAGAAAGGATCGAACGTGTCTACTCGGTAAAAGATTTAGGGGTATGGTTCGATCCTCGATTAACTTTTCATGACCACATGAGAGCGGTTACTAGCGACTCTTATCGTAGGTTAGGATTTGCAATTCGCAATATGCGCGAATTTGATAATATAACAGCTATCAAATTGGTGTACATGACCCTGGTTAGAAGCAAGCTAGAATCTGCATCTCTGGTATGGAGTCCGCATGAGGTTACTTATGCTCTGATGCTTGAAAAGGTGCAAAAGGCGTTTTTGAGGTTTTTGTACAGAAAACGGTTTGGCTATTACCCTTTTCTGTACCCCACTAAGTTTCTGTTAGGCATGTTACGGTTTAACTCTCTTGAGGTAAGGCGTAATTACTCCTTAATGACTATGAGTTGTAAGACGCTGCGAGGTGAATCTGACTGTCCGGAGATTGTAGGTCAGGTGGTGCGGTTATCAGTACCGAGGCTGCTCACACACCAACTTCGACCTCGTCAACATCCCTTATTAGCTGTACCAGAAGCACGTACAGTGGCCCATGCAAATTCTCCGCTGGTCCGAGTACTCACCATGCTCAATTCTCTCCTGATGTCAGCACCAGAGTGTGATTTATTTGCAATGAGATGGATAGATGTGTGTCGTGAATGTTTAAGATTTTGTGAGAGGATGGATGATACGTAGCGGATTATAATGTTAATGTTTGCGTTAAATTACAATAAGTACTCTAATTACCATTTGTTATTCAAATGTATAGTTTTTTTTTTTGTTTGTTTTTTGTTAATTTTGTTTTTGAATTTAGTTGAATTAGTTTGTTTTAATTACCTAAATAATAGCATTTATATATATATAAGTTTAACAGTATAACTTAATGGCGTAAGCTGTGGTGTTGTATATGTACATTTTCTAAATAAATAAATAAACACTTCGGAGAAGGTTTTAGTATATTAATTACACGACCTAAAAAAGGAGGTTTTTGTTTTGTTTTTATAGTGTCGTGGGTGCGTTTACAAACATAAAAGTTCACATACACCTGACCTGACCCAGACTCGGAACAACTATTTGTGCGGGAAACCGCGATACGTTGCGTGAATAAAATAATGAAAAGTGGGTGTTACATGGTACAGACTACAGTGGTATTAAGTGCTGTAATTTGCATCTCTGCCTCTGCTTAGGGGATTAAAGGCGTGATGTTATGTAACTTATTACTTTATGAACTTACTTCCTCATCTGGCGAAGAGGCGAGTTCCGGTTCATTTTCTTCCAGTTTATTGAGCAATTTGTCCTGTAACAAGAGAGATAGGCTTTTAAAAATACATTCCTTTCATTAAATATGTATTCACATTTTAAAACTTTCAAAGTCTTCACTCTGTTTGATGGTGTTTTAATATGTAAAGAACGTAGAAGCTTCTTTCAGGTACTTATTTATTTAATAAGGAATATTACACTTTTTTTATTTAAAGAAACCCATGGCTGGTGAGTCTATTTTTTAATTTTTTTTTAGGGGGGGAAAATCATCGATTGGCTTCTCCCGCCTGGTTGAGGCGGGAGGGAGTGTCAGACTCTTACTGACTACAAACCACCCCGTTTCTACTACTGCACTTCGAGCCGGAGCCCCGGTAACCGTTTAAGTTCTCCGCGGCTCCGTATCGGCATCAGCCCTGTTGCCCATCTGTAGTAGTCTGATGGCTCTTTGAGGCGCGCGCGGGAACGCGACGCGCCGCACACTCGGGTCTGATTCTGGTCGGGTGGCGTGGGTCTACAAGTACACCTTTAATGATGTACCTACTTAACGCTATTAACACTCCATAAAGATTTTTAATAATCTCAAAAAATTTTGGATCATTCTGACATTTCCTAGGTATATTGTACCTACGACTGAACATGTGCTATAGATACTCACATTAATTTATTTATTACTAGTCTAACTAATTCTTTAACACCGACAATTTGGTATTTGATAACTAGTCAAATTCAATTTTTTTTCTATGAATTTTGTACGAGATTGTGTATTGTGACGTCACGTTTTTTAGAGTCAAACAGCATACTTATTTCTTTAAAAAAATCTGGAAAAATACTAAAATTAAGTTGGTCATAAAATCAATTAAGTAATGAAAGTGTGATTATTTTTTTATATTTTATTGTATTGAAGAGTCGAAGTAATTTATTTTTGACTAAGGAAAGTACCCAATAACATGTTTTGCAAAAACGCATTTCATATACCTTGAACAAAGTGTAGGAAGGTACTAAGGTAGGTACTACTAATATGATGATTTCTGAGTAATTTATAGCACTTTACATCCACCATACATACTTAGAACTAGATAGATACCTAACTACATAATGAAGTAAGAGACCTCAGTAATAACATAGTTTTAAATCCATTTATTTATTCATGACATTCTAGACATGATTGCAACGATCTTGTGACGGAAATATGAAGTAAATAAAGTATATTTACATCAATTTATGATCCAACAAAGAAAATACGTAAGTTATCTGCAATTGGTGTTTTAGCAACATTATGTGGAGATGGACATGCATACACATAGCAGAAGTATACACTTATATAATTTCGGAGCATGTGATGTATAGCTGAGAATTTTCGTCAATGAAATATCAATAAAATATACTTTGTCCGACATGGAAATATTTAAGCTATTCTGACACTTTCAATTCGAAAGATCGAAGTGAACTCGATCGCGGTCCGCCGTGTCCTTGGTTATGATGAGAAAAATCTCGACCAATGACGAGTGAGAATGCGACCGAGCTTACTTCGAAAGTTCGAATTGACAGTTATAGAATAGCCTAGTAGAACTCTTGTTCGGCAGTCGACGAAGAAGTAAATTCAAATTGTTAATTTTTTAGATAGGTAAAGGTCAATTGTTCGGTCTTCTATAAAAGGTTATTTTTCAAAACGAGTCGTAATCGCTTCTTTCACAAAGTTACCACGTTTGACAATGCTCCATTAAGTTTGTTTGTTTGTGTGTTCACTGACATACGAAAATATTTTTTTTTGGTTGTTAGTTGACCATATAAAGTACCTATTTACGTTATAGTGTGACGTCAATATTTTAATTTAACATATTAATTGCCTCTTAAGGTGTTTAATTAGACAGGTACTATATACATCTTATACTCTTATTACTTATTATATAAATCTGAAGCGTTTGTTTGAATGTGCTAATCTCCAGAACTACTTGTCCGATTTGGATAATTCTTTTTGTGTTAGATAGTGTATTTATCAAACGAAGAATGCTACTATAGATAGACTATAAAAATCATTCGGTCAATTAATAAATCAATCATCAATTCGGATTTGGGTGTCATGAATATGTGAACTTATATGTTTGTAATTGCATCCACGTTACGATACAGGAGACAAACCTAGTGTGGGCAAACGTTACAAAAAAAAAATACATCGCAAAAGGGCCCTGAATAAAATGAAATACGGCCGTACGTACTCATAACACGAAAAACAATTCTATAAAATTCACAAACTTTTGCGCATCACTTACATTTTGGTACTAAAGTGCAATGAAAATGAGATCAGATATTCAATATCAAAGTGTTCCAAATATGTAGGTACTGAGCATCGATCCCAAGGAGCTTGGCTCCAGTTCAAGTCCATTAGAGGATACATTAAAATTAATATTCCTTTCACGGATAACTTACTCGATTCCGTTTTAATTGCAGTAAGTAATAATGCGTAAGGACTGACGACAGTACATCATAGTATCCAAAATTCAAATTATATAATATCACGCCTTTAAACCCCGAAGGGGTAGGGAGAGGTGTACTTTACCGCACTTAATGCCACTGTACAATGTAACACCCACTTTAAACTCTTTATGTTATGAGTCCCATGTAATAGGGGGTGAGCCTATTACTGAGAATTTTTTGAAAGAACCCAGTTTTACTTTGCCTGACCCGGGAATCGAACCCGAGACTCCTAGCCCGGCAGTCGCACTTGCGACCACTCGGCCAACGAGGCAGTCAAATAAAAAATATTTATATAATAAAGTTGAATTTCAATTTAGAGATTCAGTTAGTCGTAGCTTATTTTGCAGTTATCGCCTTATCGGTATACCTAATACCAAAGTAGTTAAGTACCTACGTTAAGTATTTCTCGGTGTAACAAAGGCAAAAGACTATGTATCTCCCATTTTAATGCTGAGCACGTAAAGTGAATTAATCGCGAAGCAAATAAATAGGCAAGTAAATGGTTACCTACTCATGAATCATAATGTTATAATGATACTTATAATTACTGGTGATGGCATTTGTGCATCTAGTTGATTTAGTGCAGATATAGCATTGTTTGATGTTTAGCAAAAGTCATTATCATCAGCCTACGGTAGTTAATTTAAAAAAAAAAACGTTGCCCCACACTAGGATTTTCTCCTGTGTCGTGGGTGCGTTTACAAACATACAATATCACATACACATGACACCCAGACCCAAAACAACAATCTGGATCACACAAAGAGTTGTTCCATGCGGGAATCGAACCCGCGACACGTTGCGCGGCAGCCAGTTGCTCAGCCACCGCGCCAACCGTGCAGTCAATTGCTAGACCTTACCTCTCTTCTGTATAAAGGGTTTGCCATAATCTCCAAGCTTGGTAAAGTACGTAAAGGTAAAATACCAATAGATACCTATCTACTGAATAATACTACTATATTATTTACAACAGTTAACTACGCTATACATAACTGCAGCAGAGTTAACTAAGCACCCTCTCTAATGAACTTACCGCCAGTTTAGTCAGTTTAACTTAAACGTATCTAACCACGGCTGAAATTACCTGCTCGGGAGAGCTAGGCTTCCTTTAAATTATATATTCCACGGCGGTATAAGGCTTCAGTAAGGTGCAATGCAATACCTTTCATCAATATATTACTTGTAAATGTACCTATGGTTCATTTTCTTTTGTATCCTCATGATGTCGTATGAAGTAAGGGGTTCGGCTTGTTGCCATTTGCCATATATCGGGCATAATTCTAGATCTGGGAACTATTAGTGGCAAATATTCGAATAACCGAAAATACCCGAAAGAATCGAAACCTCTTGCTCGCCAGTCCCGCCTGCTAGCACTCGACCAACGAGGCTGGTATCGTGCTAATTGAAAGTAAATGTTAGAATTACTCGATTTAAAAGTCCAATAATATCTATAGGTACAAATTTTGTCCGAACTTTGAACCTAACTGGTTCATACTCAGCAGTAACATTGAAATAAAAAAACTACACCTGCATCTTTAGCCAACTTAAAAGATTTTGAAACACATTTTTCAAACCCTGATAGTTTATCTAGACCACACTTACTCATTTAATTTGAAACTGATTATCTACAGAGAAATCAATTCGATCAACGATATAATTTCGTAGCGTTTTTGTCTTACAGAATCGTTTGCGTAATCATGGCTGCCATTGGTATCACAGCGGTCGATTTTTAGTATAACAACTAAACAGTTAGCAAATACCCTTCGGTGTAGACAGACAAATTCAACCTCTTTGGACGTTATAAAATTTGAAAAAAGGAACGTTAACGCTAGTCTTGTCTATGATCTCTTTAAAAAAATATTCGCGATATATGTGACCGTATTTCCGCATACTCGACAGTTACCGGTGAGCCCTAATGAGCTCCGGTTCTTCACAGTTAATCGGGAAATTCTCTAGTAAAAAAAAGTTTTTATAACGAGTTTCAAACCATTGTACGGGATGCTATTGTGCTGAACTCTCGTCTCGGCTCTCGTACCGGGAAAATGCTTCGTTCTGAGATGATGGTTTTCAGTGCTGAAGTGTATTTTTAATCGGTTTTGTTAGTATTTATTATTGTGCTCGGATATGGTGGCGAATGCTACCGCGTGTCAGCTTTCATCGTTTTTCATAGGTAAGTTTTAGATTTGGAATAAAACAAATTTAGCATACCCAAAATTTTAAGTTACGGTAATGTTTTATTAGATCCTCTGTAAATCTAAAATATCAAAATAGGTCATTAAAAAGAGTATAAATATTTTTTCCTAAATATCAGTGTATTTTTCTTATAAGTTTGTTTCGTTTGAATGTATATTTTTTTAATTGAATTTCGGATATTAAGTTATGCTCATAATATTATTTTAGCAAACGTATAGCACTTATTTTTCTACATGAAGACATAATAAGTATTTCAGGATATAAACTCATCCATTTTTAACGACTTAAAAAAAAGGAGGAGGTACTATGTTCGGCTGATTGTTTTTTTTTGTTTGTTCGCCGATTTCTCCGCCATTTGTGAACCGATTA